TCACCTTGTGTGGCCTCAGCTCCCTGGGTTGAAAGAAGGTCGTTGGGGATGGTCCAGTTAGGCCCATGAAACCTGCTGGGCCTAGTCTAGTGTGATTGGAAGCTGGGAGGGCTCTTAACAGAATGATTTTAAACTCTTCCCAGGCTGGTGCTGGTGTGTTGGAACTCACCTCACATGGCCTCATCTACCATATTTATTATAATTTGATTTCTTCATGAATGCCATTCTTTCTGAATATGAAATCTCAGTGTTGTTTTAATTTGCATTTCTCTTGTGGTCAAAGTTGTTGAACTTTTTTTCATATATTTATTGACCATTTGCACTTTTTCTGACAAGTGTCTATTCACTTCAGTTGCCCATTTTTGATTGGGCCTTTTATTTTGGGGGTCTATTTTTTTTAGTTCTTTAAATATTTTAGATATTATTTCTCTGACCAAGGAGTGGCTGGTGAAAATATTCTTCCATTCTGTAGGTTGTCTCTTCACTCTGTTGGCCTGTTTCCTTTGTTGAGCTGAAGCTATTTAATTAGATGCAATTCCATTTATTGATCCTTGATGTTAATTTTTGTGTAGCTAGGTTTTCTGTCAGAAAGTCCTTGTTTTGCCTATGACTTCAAGAGTCTTACCTATGTTTTTCCAGAATATTGCTTCTGCTTTAATATTTCAGATGTTTGGTGCATTTTTATTTTTAGTTTAATACATGGTGAGATATATGTCCTGCTTTACTTTTCTTCATTTGTGTTTGCCAGCACCATTTATTACAGAGGCTGTCTTTCCTGTAGTGTATGTTTTTGGTCACTTTGTCACAGATGAGGCTGCTCTACACGCCTGAGGTTGTTTCTGCATTCTTTGTTCTGTTCCCCTATCCAGATGTCTGTTTTTGTGGCAGTACAGCATGGTTCTCTCTGCAGAACCATGTTTTTGTCCAGAGTGGGTAGCTAAGAATTGCAAACAATTGATTCAGTTTAGACCTAACCCCCTCAAAAACCTTAATGGAGTCCTACTGACTGCATCCCCACAGTACTAGCTTTTGGCCTCCAAGACAGATACTGAGAGACTGCTCTAATTGGCACTTGTATCCCTTCTTGGAGGAGGCAGTGTCCCTCCTCTTTGTGCCATGGGACAGAATAATATATCCCTCCAGGTCATTACTGCATTTCTTATGCTGGTTTCCAGAAACAATAAGTTTAATATTTCTGGCTTTGAAGTTTGTTTACATTCTAAGTGACACCTGGATCCTCCTCAACTCAGGCAGTTCTGGACTCCTTCCTAGCTCTCTCCAACATGGCAATCCCCACCCCTATTTTTCATCTGAAAGTTTGGGCTCAGAGATGTTGGCTTCCTATTTCCTGTGACGCTGGAGAATTCCAAGGTTTATCTGCAACCCTGGGTTTCTGTTAGTCTGCCAGCAAGTATTATGACTAAGGGAGGAAAGGTTCCTCCTCTGTTTACCAACACCCAGAAAGCCCAGAGCTAAATATGGTCTAGTGTTCACAGAGCACAAGACAAGGCTCTTCAATAAACATTTGACTTGGTCTCTTTCACTGACTTCTCACAATAACTGTGCACAGCTCAGTGCCTGGTAGAGGCTTCAGTGGGCTACAGAGAGCTTGCTGGCAGCATAGGCATGGCTCTGTGTCAGGAGGCACAGCTGGGAGTTGCCAAGATGAAACTGACATTGTGAGGTAGACATGGACTGGGTTAGGAAGGTGCTCATACTTGGCACAGTATGGCCAAGGTGTTTGGGGTACTGTTTATAAATGCCCTGCTGTCTTTCTACTCACTTGGAGGATTGTCTGGTTTGAGGCTTTCTCAATGGGGGAATATTTGTCTTTCTGACTCGTAGTACATTGTCTGTCCAGCTAGAGAATTTCCTAGCTCATGGGTTACTTATTGGGGGTCTGCCTGGTAGTTTTGTTTTTGGCTGGTGGTCTACATGGCTGTCCTGCCAGATGCCTAAAGACCTTAAGCTAGGAGTCACTATGCTTGGGGTCCATTTCCCAGTTCTCATCAGATTGTCTGGCTAGTGATTGTGTTGCCTGTCATTTGAGGTCTGGTTCCTGTCTTGTCAGGCTAGTGTTCTGTATATCTGGCTCCAGATGTGTCTGTCAAGTGGCAACCTGTATCTCTCTGTCCAGCCAGGGAGTCTGTGTCTGGACAGCTAGGAATCAGTTTGGTGAGGGGGTCTTTCTACTAGTCTGGGATCTGCCTAGATATGGTCTGCTTTGTTGGTGGTCAATCTCTCTGAACAGCTGGGGATGCACACCCATGCATTAGGGAGGTTCTATTTTCTATGTGACTTGATTTGTCTCATGGGCGAGTGTCTATCCATCCATCTAGGTTGAAGTCTTCTGTCTCTAGCTGAGGGTAGTGGTTCTTCTGTCTGCACAGGGATTCATAGATCAGATGGGGGACTCATTTATCTGAGGGGTTTGGAATTTATGTATCTGCTAATACAGTGTCTGTCTGTCCACCTGAAGGATCTATCCAACTGAAATGTCTGCCAGGCTGGACTGGATAGTGAACTTGGGATGCTTCTCTGAGTGTCTGTGTTGTGCCTAGCTGTCCCCCCAAGCATCATGCAGTCATAGGGTTTTTTTTTTTTTTTCCAGAGGTGACTGAATTAGAGTTTGTGATTGATTTATGGTCTAATGCTGGGATTAAGGGTTTGATGGCTACACCCACCTGGGGCAGGTAGCGTGCATACAATATAAGGGATAGAAAGAGATTTGTTCTCTCTCTTTTGTTGCTTTTGCACTGCCATGAGCTGTTGCCCCTTTGCCATGTGCCACCCTACCTTAGAGCCAGGTGATGACAGACTGAAATCTCCATAAACAGTGAGCTAAATAAACCTTTTTCCCTTTAACTTTGGGTGTTGTGTATTTTGTCTCAGCAATGAGGAAAGTAACTAAGAGTCTGCCTGTGTTGCCAGTTGACTGGTTGGTAGCTCACCTATTTTCTGTTCAGAAGCCTCTCTCAGAAGCTACACCATGCCCAAATGGAGGTTCTACATTGGTGGGGACTGTTCACTGCATGGGGATACATACATCTATCTGGCTTAGCTGGGAGTCTGGCTGAGATGCTTATCAGCCAGGGTTATTTGTATACCAGTAACCATCTGGTTGGGAGTCCATTTGGCAAGTTAGAAGGCTGGCTGGAAGGTCAGTCAGTCTGATGGTCTGGAGGACTTGGTGGCATCTGCTCGTCTGAAATTGTTTGTGTCTGTCTAGGACTCTGTCCAACTAGGAATCCATGTGTCTGTTGAGTTGGCAGGAAGTCTGTGTTTTGGGGCCATGTCTGTTGGGAAGTCCCTCTGGATGGAACAGATCTGTTTGGCTGTTTGTTGGTTTATCTCTCTGGCTGGGGTCCATATGTCCAGCTGTGGACTTTATCTCACTGAAGGGCTGTTTAAGGATCTGGCTCTGTCTGTCCATGCTGGTGAGTCATCTATTTTTCTGCTAAACAGAATATTTTGATTCCACCTATGTGGGGTCAGTCTACTTGGCTGTGGCTAAGCTTGGTTTTTGATCTGTTTGGATGCCCTGAAGTCTACCCACATTTTCCAGAGTCCATCCGTCTCTGTGTGGGTCACAAGTGTGTGAGCAAGGGAGCACAGACACCGAAGAACTGTGTCATTTGGTGAGGGGTGTAGTCTGCCCTTAAACAGTGTAGGTTGAGGGCAATGCCCATTCCTATACCTGTCTTCTCTCCTGCTTTTCTTCTCTAGCCCTCATTCTTTTTTTTTTAAATAGTCACATACCAAACATCCATGGATTCACCTTTTCATCTCCACACTTACTGTATTCTGTTCTAAAGACTGGAGAGTAACCCACATAAAGACAAACTATTTCCTAGTTCTTACTAATGTATAATTATGCTTTTTTCAATGTTTGGTTGGTAACACAGTGTTCACTGATCATTCTTGTACAGACATGGCTGTGTATATACTCAAATAGATTCAATGTACACATTCTTGGAATTGGTAACTACAGAGTTAAATAATGTACACATTCTAGAAGTTGATGCACATTGCTACAGGCTTATCAAGGTGATTACAATCAGAGAGCAGGAAAATTCTTGTTTCACCTTACATTTGTCAACATGGGATATCACCGGCACAGTATTCTATCATATACTATGTAGTTTAAATAACAGAAATTTATTTTCTCATAATTCCAAGATCATGATGCCAGCATGTCAGGTTCTAGTGAGATCTTCTGATTGGCTTGTTACAGTGCCTCTAGATAGACACTCCCATGGCAGGAAAAGAAAGAGGCTGGAGAGAGAAGCATGCTTTCTGATCTCTGATATCTCTTCTTAGAAGGGCACTAATCCCATCATGAGCCCTACCCTTCTGAATTCATGTAATTCTAATTGCCTTCCAAAGTCCCTTTGTCCAAATAGCGTTACACCGGGGGTTACAGATTCAGCATATGCATTTTGCAGCCCTCCCCCCAGTCTTGAGTGCAATAGTCAATGAAGCAGAGCCCTCACAGTTCCCACCCTGAGAAACTTGGTTTTTTTGTTTGTTTGTTTGTTTTTTTGTCTGTTTCGTTTTTATAGGTACCGAGGGGATTGAACTCACGACTACCTGCTTGCAAGGCAGGCACTTATGCTGCTGAGCTAAATCCCCAGCCTCTTGTTTTGGTCCAGTATTCTCATTCTTCAGACATCAATGGCAGAGCTATGACTGGTGGCAAAGTTCCCTTTCCGACAAGGGGCAGGCCCAGGCGCAGCACTCACACCCTCGTCCACTCCACAGGGGGTTCTCGGGGTCCCTTAGGCCTTCTGATGCGCAGATTGAAGCCTGAGAGAGAAAGGTTGCTGTCTTAAGTTCCCATGAAGAAGCTTAAAGAGGCACCTTGCAGAACTTCCTAGTTTACCACAGCGGCATCCACAGGTCTCTGACAGCCTGCACCCCACGCTCCTGCCCCAACTCTCAAACTCCCTAGGTGCAATCAAAACTGCAGAGCGTGGCGCCCCAAGCTCTGTCTGACTTACCTAGCCCACCAGTTTGCGCTCCGTCTGCCACATCTTCATAAGCATCCTGGCCGGCAGAGCTTCGGTCAGCAGGAGCTGTGGGCAAGAGACACACACGGAGGGCCAACTCGCTGCCCCAGAGGGTCCCCGACTCCACCTCGCCCAGGAAAGAAGGAAGCCGCGAGGAGGCGGTGCCCAGAGTGAGACTGCGCCTTTGCCGTGGTCAGGCTAGGGGCACTGCAGGACACAGGGAAGACAGAAAGCTGGCAGCGCCAGAGGCGGGGCTGGTACCGAGCTTTCTGATCAGTATCCACACTAGGGATGTTTCAGAGTGCTTGAGGTCCTGCACGGTTCGGACGCGGCCTGGGAGCCAGGAGGCCAGCCTTTGGGGCGTGGCCAGGCTGCGGTTGGGGCTTGGGTCCGGTAGCGGCGGGTGCCCTCGGGGGCCCACCACGTCAGCCTGAAGGGGATCAGGGCTGCCCACCCTCCTGGCTCTGCCTGCCCGCTGGCCCCTACTCACAGCAGCTTGGCGACGCCCCTTGCACCTCCTCCGCGTGCGCCCCAGGCCTCTGAGCCCGCGGCATCACCTGGCTGTAGAGCGGCTTCTCGACTGCGCTGCTCTCCTGCCCCTCCGGGGCGGCGCCTGCAGGGTCCCTGCGCTTCTGCACCACGGCGTAGGTGTCCGCCATGGCGAGGGGCTGTGTTGCCGGCATCGAGATGCTCCTGCGGCCGAGCGAGCAGAGGAAGTGAAACCGCAGCCGCGGTGGAGAGAGGGGGTGGGGTGAGGGCTCGGCTTCCTTCTCCAAGCTGCGACCCACAGAAGGGAGAGAGGGAGGCCGGCTCTGAGCAGAAGCAGGGGTCTCTGGGACAAGACTTGGCTTCAGCGTCCAACTAGCACACCACAGTCAGGAGAGCCTGGGTCAACCTGGCTCGCAGGTAATGGGGAGAGGTATTGGCATTGACGATGATCTTTTGTGTGTGAAGGTGAGTGAATAATGAAGAAGTGGCATTTTAGGGGAGGAGGGGACACTAGCTTCAAGAAGGAGAGAGGATGGTCAGCTGTACTTGGAGAACCTGACATGAGTCCTGACCCTGAACAGCAATCAAGAAATAATTGCCAAATGTATCACCTACCGGAGGAGCAAGGAACAGGCTGACCTGAGAGTAGGGCTAGCCTTAAAGGCAGAGGCAGGGTACCCTCGGGGGGTCAAAGAGTCCTGTAAGGAAGGTTCCCATAGCAAGTTCAAAGACAGTGCCAAGAGAATCCGTGAACTGAAGGACGAAGAGGGGCTTGTCGGGGAGTTTGAGAAACTGAAAGGTAAGTGTTGGGGTTGGTTGCTGGTACCTGAGAACTGTGCCCGGTGGGCCAGGGTTGGCAGGAAGGTCTGTGGAAGTCCAATGAGAAAGCGCATCATCATAGAGTGGAGCACAGTTCTAGGGGAAAACAAGACGGTCAAGAGGCGTAAGAAAAAACTGGCTGGGCTTCTCTTGGGGTCATGGTGGGGTTCCTCAAGATGAGGTAAGAGGGACAAGCAGATGAGGGAACCAAGAACCGTGGCAGGCAGTGTCTGCTCTCAGAAGTGCAGGGCCTCAGGACTGCTGAGATGGGCAAGAAGAGAGTGGGCAGGTGCCTCTGTACCTCCTTGAGGTTCTGGTCCTCGGGGCTGGTCTTCTGGAGAGCCGAGTAGAACATCTGAGCCACTACCTGGTGCAGGAACCGGTACTGCTTCTGTTTGATCGAGAGACCATCAAGAAGGGAAGATAGGGAGAAGAAGGGTGGAAGTTTGTGTCCTTGGGAAATAAGACCAAGGCTCACACCTCTGTCTGCACAATTGAAGGCCGCTGCTTCCGCATCTCAAGGACTACATCAAAAAGGCTGAAGTCGGGTGGGATCATCTGGGGAACAGAGACCAGTGTGGGAACAGGACCATGTGCACATGGACTGAATTGCACAACACAGGTGCCCTCATCATACCTCGGTCAGGAGCAACTGCCTCACATAATCAATAGTGCACAGGACACCTGTTCGCCCACAGCCAGCACTGATGAGTGAAAATCAGAACAAGTGCAGTCAGGGCCTGCCCACAACACTTGTAAATGGGGGTATTTGGAGTTGAGGTTAGGGACCTTGCCATTTACAGAATTCCCAGATTATAATTTTAATTTTTAAGTCACGTATTTGTCAAGCACCAGCTATGTGCTTACTTCCTATCAGGGAGCACAAATGCTAATCAACAAATGCTAATAATGTCATTCCACACAGCATGACCAAGTATGGCCTCAGAGTTCTCAAAATAGGTTACTTAGAGGCGCAAGACTATCTATTAGACAAGACTGACAACAAGCTTTGCTCCCCACCATCTTTCACTGGTGACAAGCTTTGCTCCCTACCACCTTTCTGCCTCACCAGAGCTTCATAAAGCATATTCCCTAACCTGCAGTGGACACAGAAGGGTCCAGGGCTAGATCCTTGGAGGCAGCGGGCTTCCTCTATCATTGTGAGTACAGTGTCAGGGTTTCTGGGGACCCCACGGTCTGGCCAGGACATGTATTGCAGCTGGTGCACAGAACGGAATTTCTGAGACAGAGGACCAGAGAGCAGAGGATTAAAAACATTCACTGACTGATACATGCAAGGCCCAGTGCTAAGCATCTTCCATTTAATTCTGTCAGAAATGGCTGTGGAAAGAGAACAAGAAGTCAACAAGAAGCTAAGACCTCCTGTGATTTGCACCATGCACAGGATGATGAGAAGAGCCAAATGCCAGCCCTTCTGGCTCACAAGCAGGGAGACAAGAAAAGCCAAAACTCCCCCACGCTCCCCACCCCACCATAAGTGATTGACTCATCCAGAGAAACATAAGCTGTAATGAAAGCTAATGAGATAAAATACAACTTAATGCTTGTAGTGTTCAGGATTTCACTGACTGCAGGCTGAAAGGCAGTAGTCTGATCATCTATTCAAAGCATAGCAATACACAGTGTAGCATATATGGGGAATCTCCTTCTGAAGGTGGTGGCCATTGTTCCCTATTACCTTGCTTCAAAATTCTGTATCATTCTCATTGTTTTGTTTGGTTGGGTTTTATTGTTTTGTTTTGTTTGATTTTATTATATCAGATGGCATGGGTGGCTATTTCAAAGATAACAAGATATATCATGGTAGCCATTTTGGATTTACTATTATCTTGTTTTAAAGTCTTGTATTCATTGTTTTGTTTTAATTGGTTCTATTCTGTTTTGCTTGATTTTATTATGTTGGAAGGTATGGGCAGTTTGTTTTTGGTACCTGGGATTGAACTCACAAACTTGCACTTGCCAGGCAGGTGCTTACACCAACCACTAAGCTAAATCTCTGGCCCCATGGGGAACTATTCTGAAGACAAGAGGCATTATGGTAACCACTGTTGATTTCCTATTATCTTGTTCTGAAATTCTGTGTCACATGGTCTTGTTTTTGTTGTTGTTGTTGTTGTTGTTTTCTTTTTCTTTTTTATCGGTACCAGGGATTGAACTCATAGCCACACACTTGCAAGGCAGGTGCATATGCCGCTGAGCTAAATCCTCAGCCCCACATGGTCTTGTTTTGATTAGCTTTATTCTATTTTATTTTGCTTGGTTTTACTGCCCCCAAAATAAAATTTTTTAAAAAAGAAAAGAAATGGCTGGAGGAGTTGTTGAATAATAGAGTACTTGCCTTGAATGTTCACGACTGGGTTTTTTGCTCAGCATCACAAAGAAAACAATCCACCAGATAATGACTGAGGAAGTGGGCACTGTTGTGAATGTCCATTTTACAAAGCAGGATAAAGCTCTGTACCTGCAAGAACCCTTTACCTCCTCCTCCCCATTCAGTACCTTCTGGAATGTGACCAAGAGGAGCCTGAGGATGATGTCTGCATTCAGTGCCAGTTCCTTTATCTGAGTTTGTGGGCAAGTGGGAAGAGGAAGAACAAGAGAATAAATATGCCAAAAGACACACTAATAGAAAGCAAAGCATTATTTATTTAAAAATATAAATAAACATAAAACTCATTTAGTCCAAAATTTTCCAAAGCTTTCACAAAGGAGACATTTCAGAGAAGACAAAGGTACTATACAGAGCCCACTTACAGTGAAAAAAAAGATCTTTTCTTGTAAAAGTTTCATGATTTTAAATGCTAACTGCATGCATGAGGAGAAATTTCCCCCAAGTTCTTCCGATATGCTAAAAGAAGTAAGGATTTCAAGAACCCAAACAGGCACTTTTACATTGTAGATATAACTGTGAATGAAACCAAAACAAAAATGCTGAGGGTGGGGATGCGGGTCAGTGGTAGAGCACTTGTTCTTTTTTTGTTGTTTTGTTTTGTTTTGTTTTGTTTTGTCTTTTTCATTTTTATTGGTACCGGGGATCAAACTCACGACTGCCTGCTTGCAAGGCAGGCGCTTATGCCTCTGAGCTAAATCCTCAGCCCCTTGTTCTTAGTTTTTTAAAATTTTATTTTAAAAAGAAAAAAGTCAGAAAAGAAAAACAAAAAGCAAAAGAGATAAACAACAACAGCAAACCCAAAACAATAACAATATAGGTTTTCAAAACAGAATGAAAGAAATTTAACAATGTTTTTATATTGCATATTGTTCTCTTTTTTCCAAAGAGAGAAAAGAAAATAGAAAAACAGGGAAAAAGGTAGAACAATACCAAATTCAAAAAAATGAACATCATAAAATTGCTAGTTGATACATTACCCATTGTCGTCTTAAAAAATAGCTGTCAAAGTCACAAAAATCAAAGCATAAATCGTCAAACATTGACAGTGCAAATCCTTCTTTTCAATGTTCCAACTGAAATTCAGTAATATGGCCATCTATCTTACACAACATACATACCGTTATACCCTTTAGAGCACTTTCTTTCCCTTTTACTTTCACAATATCTGTTGTACTTTTTGGATCCAATTATTCTGTCAGTAGAGCACTTGTTCTTTCTAAAACAAGACCCTGTATGCCATCCCAAGCACCAGAAAAACAAATAGACAAACAAACCTGCTAAGGCAATGTATATACTGAGTTGTGACTATTTGCAGGCTAACATCAACATAATGTCTATGAGGGAACTGTGGGAAAGGATTCATCTCTTCTAGTCCAGTCTGAAGACTTCCCACCCTGCCAACCCTCCCTTTAAACCTCCCATAACACCCAAGGCCTGTAGAACCCTGTTCCCACCTCTGCCACAGCTCACCAGAGTGATGCAAAATGGCCCAATCTGTAGTGGCTCTTGTTCCTGGGGCCAGTAACGTTCACACTTTTTCTGCAGAAGATAAGAAAGGAAGGGCAAGGAGTAAAGAGAGGGGAAAGTTTCAGAGTTCCAGCCCTTACAACATACCCATGGGCTGCTGGTGGAGGTACAGGCAGCTGTGTGCCAGAGGCCTGCCACATCATATCTCATCATACACATATAGACTCCCCAGGGGCAACCTAAGGACCATGTCCTTCTGGAAAACAGTCTAGAATATCTACTTCAAGTAGCAAAAAAACTGGGCAAAATGCATGTGCCTCTTTTTCCACCTCTGGCAGTTACAGGGCTGTGACCACTAACGACCCCCTGCAGGTGTCACCAGGCTGGAGGAGAGGAGAGCCCAATGATCCCTATAAACTGAAAAGCCAGAGATTATGGCTCAGGGAAGCCAATACAGGTAGAATATGTAGGGCAGAATCTTGAAAGGTAAGCTATGTTAACAAGAGCAGAAAAAAATCCTCAAGAAACCTTGATGAGGTCCTCTTCTCACCTAACTTTTGGCTGAATAATAATCTGAATACATACAAACAGAAAGCCAGGACAAATAACCTCTTATGAAATAATATAACTAAGAATCTGTAGGATAAACATTTCCGAGGACTCACAATGGAACAGAAATAATTTATATTTCCTCCAGGTCAAGTGGAGAGGTATTACTGATTCTGAAGCACATTTAGTAGTGGCTTCAGTAATCAAACAATAGAACCAAAGCTAAAATAATCCAAGAAGAAGGACTTCTTTAGACATGCTCTTAAAAAGCTTAAAAACAAACTCTAGAGGCTGGAGACATATTTCAGTGGCAGAGCATGTTATTCGTCTCATCAAAAAGCTACTGGCTTTGGTCCACAACACCATGGGAAAACACAAACAAACACAACCTCCCCCAAAATCAAATGTAAAAAACAAACAAGTAAAACTTTATTTTTTAGGAGTGTACTACTAGGGATTGTACCCAGGGCCTCAAATATGTCAGGCATTTACTCTATTACTGAGCTAAAGCCCCAACCCTAAAATACTCTGTGTGAAATTTAAAATATCAAGCATCTAATAAATATTTACTACATATACAAAGAAGTAGAAAAATGTGACTCATAATTATGAAAAAAGGCTGAGAAATGATGGAGATAAGGAAAGGAGGACAGGCCTTAACACATTTATTATAAATATATTCAAAGAAGAAAAAGGAAGACATGAACAAGATAAGGAATGAAGCAAAAGATACTAAAAACCAGACCACATGAAACCTCTGAAGAGGAGAAATAAAACATGTGAAATGAAAAAAGTTACTAATAGCAGATTAAATAGCAGAAGAAAAAAATCAGCAAAACTACAGAGATAGAAAGTATTCAAAATGAAAAAAAAAGAAGATGGGAAAAAACAAGAGTCAGTTTTATGTGGAAATATAACACTTGCGCTACATAGATGTATCTAGAAAGGGGAGAGGGAAGACAGAAACTGTATATGAAAAACAGCTGAAAAAGTTCCCTAGTTTGATGAAACTACAGAGCTGCAAGGCCAAGATAAATGAAAGACAGGAAAATAAACATGAAACAAGTTACATTGATACGGATCATAACCAAAATGCTGAAAAAACTGCTATAAAGGAAGAACCCCTAAAAGAAAAATAAAGGCACTGACAACAGATAGGATGGTAGCAGATTTTTTTCTTTTGTACCAGAGATTGAACTCATGACCTTGCACTTACCAAGCAAGTGCTTGACCCACTGAGCTAAATCTCTGGCCTGATAGCGCAATTCTTTTCAAGAACCCTGTAAACTATAAAACTAGTGATGGAATATCTTAAAAATACAAAAGGAATAAAAAAGGCAAACAAAAACCTTCTTCAGGCAAATAAAAACCAAGCAAATTCAACACAAGCAAATTCGCATTGTGAAAAAAGAAACAAATCAAATATAAACAAAATAATAGAGAAAAAAGTTGTATATGTGGCTGTGTAAATATATTTCATTTATTTTACTGTAGTTAAAAGATAATCTACTCACTTTTACTAAGCAGGTAAGAAATAATAAATCTCAATCTTATACAAACTCTTGCAAAAAAAATTGAGGAGTGAACATTATGCAGTATACAATCTGCATGAGGCCTGCTAATGTCCTGATAACTCAATCAGGCCAGAATAACACAAGAAAAGGAAACTACTAATGAGTGTCTCATAAATACAGTTAACAAAGGTTCTCAACAAAATACTAAGAAAGTACTATACACCAGGACCAAATGGGAGTAATCTCAGGAATGCAAAATTGTTTCACCCTATGTAAAGCATTGAATGTCATATGTTATGTTTACAGACTTCAAAACAAAACCACAATCACCCAAATAGCATCTAAACCACAATCATCCAAAACTTTATGAAAACTAACACTGTTTCATGATAACAACATGAAAGGAACTAGGAATAGGAAGAATATTCTTAAAATAAAAATAACATCTACAAAAATGCCACAGATAACACATGATGAAAGAATAAAGCAAGTGAGGGCTGGGAATTTAGCTTAGTGAGATAAGTGCTTGCCTGGCAGGCCTAAGGTTGAGAGTTTGATCTCTGGTACAAAAAAATGAATAAATAAAATAAAGCAAGTAGTACAAGACAAGTTGTACTTTCTAATTTCTATTCAAGTAGAAATTCTAGTTAGTATAGTTAGGAAAAGGGAACCAGGAGAAATTGCTGGGGTAGGAGAAAAGAGGAAGCAGAAAAGAGAGAAGAAGACAAGGAGAAGGATTGGGAAAGAGGAGGAAGAAGGAGAGGGTGGGGATGGTAGTGGAGAGAGGCATGATGGGTAGGAAGCAAGACTGGGAAAGTAACAAAAAGTATTCTGATGTATAATTGATATGATTTTATATAAAGAGAACTCTAAAAAATGCAACACATGCTATTAAAGCTGCACAGCTGCAGATACAAGGTCAATGTAGAAAATAATTCTGTATATAGTATAACTAGTTTGTAATAAATGAAGAAAACTTATAATAACATAAAAATATAAAGTACATAGAAATAAATTTAACAAATATGCAAACATTTTTAGACTAAGCACCACAAAGCATTGCTTAAGGAGAGTTTGGGTAAATTGAAAGATTTATGTAGCAGCCCTACTGATAAAGACCAGGCTCAGCAGGTTTCTGCTAGGAGGAAGGACTGCACTGACTGCTAGACTCCAGACAATGTGTATTATGGTTTTGCAGAAAGTTTTTCTGCATTTTTCTCATATCAACAGACTTTGCCTGAAACTAAAGATGACAAACTAATTAATCTGGCAGAAGAAATTTAAAGGCAGTCAAATACTGAGGCAGTGGCATGGCTATTTGCTGGTTTTGTTTTGTTTTTTTTTTTTTTAAGCCAGATTTATGTTGAGAATCAAGAGCAGAAGAATGATTTAAAATGTTGTGAGTTTGGCCAGAAGGGAAGTTCTAGTAAAGCTGCGGACTACAAAGAGAAAGCAGAGAAGTTCTTGATTGCTAAGAAACAGGATGATAGAAAAGCTGGCTTGAGGATATCATAGAAAACACCAGGATTCCACCTTTTGCAGCTTCAAAATTGCAAAAGTGAAAGACTTTACTTTGAGGAGAAAGCAACAGAGCATCATTTTACAGAATGGCAATGGTCACATCATGAACCAGAATGGTGGCAGCCTAGAGAATTTGTTCCTCAGAAATGGATACAGGTTTTCCAGTGACCGAGTCACTCAACTCCTACAGCCGAGAAAGAGGGAAGCCTGGCTACTGCTCCAGCTGGTGGGAGACCTTGGCACCGTTCATGTGCCACTGGTTTCAGGTGCATGAGAATGTAAGAGTTCTGACATTAAAAAGGCTTTCACCCCAATTTCAGAAGGCCAGAAGTGTGCCCCTGAGTGGGCAGTGTGTGAAGCTGTGAGTGTGAAGCTGAAGGCGCAGTGGAGACTCTGGAAGTCTGAAGAAGTCAAAAACATGGATGATGTGAGGAAAACTGCAAGGAGGGAAAACATCAAGCCTAAGAAAGAAGCCATGGAAGCTACAACCACCAGAAATGACATAGGGGCAGAGCTACACAAGTCCTTTGTAGGTCACATCTTGGCATAGATTGTGTAAGATGCTGCACATGGAACTACAGAACATAATGTGCCCTATTGGATTTTGGACTTGCTTTGGCCCATTCCTTTGTATCTACCTGTTTGTAACTTTTGGAATGAAAATGTTTATCTTGTGGTATTCAATGTTGGAAGTGTTTAGCTTTCTTTACACTTGTACAGGGGCTCACAGCTAAGAGTTTGCCTTAGATCTCAGAGGTTTGGGACTTGAACTTTTCAGTCCAGTGATCTTGGTTTATTAAGGTCAATCTCCTTAACGAACATAGATGCAGAAAGCTTCCATAAGGTGAACCGAGTATAGCAAATCATCAAGAAGGTTATATAATATGATCAAGTAGGATACATCTCAGGGTCAGGGATGGTGCAACTTAAACAAATCAATACATGGAATACATCATATCAGGACAGCCAATGACAAAAGCCACATGATCATCTCAATAGATGCAGAAAAATCTATTGAGAAAGTCTAACATTCATGATAAAAACTTTACAGAAAAATGGAATACATGGTCTTTATCCAATCTGATAAAAGCCATCTATGACAAATCAACAGCCAAATGATCAAAACCTGAAAACCTTAACTCAAAATAAGGAACAAGATGAGGATATTCAGTATCTCCAATCTTATTCAATATAATTGTGGAAACATTAGCCAAACAATTAGACAAGAGAAAGAAATAAAAGGAACAAGGATAGGAAAGGAAGAAGTTAAAGCATCATTATTTGCAGATGACATGTTACTTTACATAGAATACCCCAAAATTCCATCAAAAGACTTCTAGGTTTAGTAACCAAATTCAGTAACTATACAGAGTAAACACTCAAAAATCAATAGTGTTCCTGTACACAAATAGCAAATGCAGTTAGAGAGAAATTAGTGAAACTATATCTTTCACAATAACATCTACCCAAACTGAAATATTTAGGAAT